AGCAGCCTGGCTAATGGGTTTTTCCTGAAATTACGTGAGTGGAACTTTTTAAAAATCTTTACTGGGAATTATTGATTCAGTTTATATAAAAGCTGCCTATTCTACACTTTCTGCAGCAGCCTTTTGTCATCAATATTAATTTTGTCAGCATTTGATAACATGTGAAGGGGAGGCAGAATCTTCCTGGCATTCCTAGTACATATTGTTTGTTACAATATTTTTACAGATGTTCATCCTTGGGTGGCCAAACTTCTTGACTGATTTATAGAGCTATGAATCTGAGGGAAGGGTTTGCATTTGCTCCCCTGTCTAAAGCATCAACATATCTAAAGACAATTCTAGACTTGATTGATATATGTTTTTAAGAGTATTTAGCATTCAAATTTGAGCGGAGAATTTTTTGTTTTACAAATCAAATACCCTAATGGTTTTACCCTTCCCCAAATACATTATTATACTAGATTAATTTAGACTGTATTTAACAGTTCCAGGACAATGCCAAGTGCAACCGAATTCCAGAGTGAACTGTGGATACCCCTACATCAGTGCTAAGGAATGCTACAATAAAGGATGCTGTTTTGATTCAAGTATTGCTGGAGTCATCTGGTGTTTCTTTCCAAAAGATAATACAGGTATTGATTCAGTGATTGAAGCTATTGGTTAAGGAAATGTCTTCGCAAAGTGATTCTCATAACCATATAAATGCAACTAGTCTAAATTACCAGCACTAAATATCTACCATCTGGAATGGGACAACTTGCTTTGGCCAATTTGCCACGGCCAACTTATTGTGACCAACTCACCAAGGGACAATTTGCCATGGGACAATTTAACAATTCAATTTAATTATTTAAAATAATTTAAATATTATTTTAATTTTTCTCATTCACATTTCATTTTTGTCCCTCCTTTTGCATTCTTTCTTTAATGACTCCATTCCACCATTTCTTTGATATTAGGGAAGCTCTTGTCCCATGGAAAGTTGTCCCGTGGCAAGTTAGCTGTGGCGAGCTGTCATAGACCTCTATTAACTCCCCTCAAAGGCAAAAACCCATAATTAGAAAACATTATAATCTGATAGCAAGAAAAGTAACAGTAGTAAATGACACGGAATCAACCCATGATTTAATGGACTGTTTGGGGAAAGGAGTGTCTGTTAAAGCCAAATGTCCATTCAATCTGAATTAGCCTACTTAATTTTCATCTAAATACATTGGCAAAGTTATGAAGTGATATAAATTGACATGAATGGTGTTGAGGCAATATGTAGATATGTATATACATAATTTATAGGTTGTTCACTTTCACAGAGGACTAAAATAGTTGACAGCCAGAGAATTGGAGCAAAAACAAAAGAAATTCACCCATCTAATCTGGTTTATCCAACCTAACACAGCTACTGCACTATCGGCACTATATGTTCTATGGAATAAAAAACTGAGGCTTTGCTCTTATATCAAAATGATAAAATCAGTTATCTCTACTGATCTGCTCAAATCTCCGGAGAGGGGCAATTCCACCTGATAATTTACTTAATTAGAGATTAAATTAACCAGGAAAAAAAATTGAAAATTTTAATAGGGATCATTTGTACATTCTGAAAAATTCTATAAATCCAGCTCTTACAGCAGCAAACACTAAACCATTTAATACAATAAACCATTAATACAACAGCAAATCCTGCTCTTAATAAAACCAAGTGTTGCTGCAAGCAGAATCCATATTATTTTGCAAACCACTGTCAGCATCTATTGGTCTTCAGGGATCAACCTAATAAGTATGTGCTTAAATGAACTTGAACATGGTGACCTGTATATGGTGTCAAGGACAACTGCAGATTCTGTTCATAGTCAGCTATTCTTCACAAGCATTTAACAACCACAGCCTAAAGAAAACCCCTCCCCATTCTTTATATGATCAAACTATCTCAAAGAATTTATTTTGTAATGGTCACTCAGTTCTGAATTAGTTTATCTTCACTCAGTACCTATTTATTCTTGACCCTATTTCTTTTTGTTTTGTCACATGCAATGCACATTAAAAAGATGCTTTTCACTCCCCTTGAGAGTGCCCCTCGTTTGCCCAGATTTTATACAGAGCTATTTGTGCTTGTTTTGATAAACATTCATTCTTTGTAAAAGACAGCATATTACTTACAACATTTCCAGGATGATTTGCATATTATTATTTCTCTTACTGTTTTCCCATCTTTAATACTAGTTTAGTAAATATTCTACTTCATCATTAAACTCCCTGGATGGGAAGTCTAGAAACATGAAATACAAAGAAACAAATAGTAAACTACTTTTCCCATTTCAGGTATCTCGTTGAAGTTAATATTTGGCACTATAATTTGAGGACAGTACTAATTGTTTTTAATTGTGTTTTGTTTCCAGGATGCTCCACCTAAAGTAAATGGGATCTCAGAGCCTGTCTCCTTTTTCTAGAGTTCCTGAGGAATTAAAATAAAGCTACTTTTCAATCTGTAGACTTACATATGCTCTCTTCTGTTAAAATAAATATTGGCCTATGAGAACATGTCAGCCATCGTAAAAATTAAATAGAATACTTAAACACAAGTGTGATTTTTTTCTAGTCCATTGTTCTGTCAAATACAAGCCTTGAGAACTTTCCTAGCTTTTAAATCTGTCATTTTTCATATTACTTTGTACTATTTTTTTCTACAAATCCTACTGGTTTTCCCCATAGTAAATGTATATTGATACTTCAAATCAGAGTCCATCGTTAACACAGCAGTGTTGTATTAATTGCAAATACTCTAAGTTAATTATATTTGTTCCTCAAGCCTAGTGCATTATTTGGTGGGGATTACACTCAATTGGCCCAAACTCTGAACTTTGGCAGAGTAGCATGTTACAGAAGCTATAGGAAGACATTCTTTTCCAGCCTCTTTCCTTTTCCAGAAATACTCAGAGGAATCCATTAGCATGGCAGCAATCATATCAAGAAGCCTTGGCAACTTTTAGTTGTATGGATTGTAATTCCCAGAATTCCCAGCCAGTAGATTTGGGGAAATGAAATGCACACATCTGGAATTTGTCTAGTTTGAGAATACTATGAATAAGACTAATGAAATTGACATGAGCTATTAGTTTCTCGATGAAATCTAGGAATTATAGTTTTATGAAGAGGTAGGAATTACTAAGCATAGTCAACAACTTCAAAAAATTGGCACAGTGTAATGTGATTAAGAAAAAGGGCCTACAGTATTAGTAGCCACTAGAACTTTCTCACCAAAGTTATTATTCCAGTTCATCCCTGGTTGGGTTCCAAACCCAGGCAGAGTTGTTCACATACTACCCAGAACATATATATATATACACTCGTGAATAAGCGGAGAATTTTAGGTGCCAAAATACATTCCACAAATTGGGTTTAACTTATCTGGAGATGGGCCTATCTGTGAGCATATACTATAAGACTTAATCCTCATACATTCTGTATGTAATTGCATAGAAACCCATCCATAGATAAGCAGACCCTGGAATTTTTAACCAAAATACTATGAAAAATAGATCATCACGAATAAACCATCTATGAAAATTAAAACATAAAAATCTGGGGAATTGGCTTATTTGTGGGTGGAACATATTTCTCTTTATTTTAGTTAAAAATTCAAAGGTTGGTTTATCCATAATTGGGCTTGTACACAAGTAATATATGGTTTCTTCATAAAATGATATTTTGCAAGTATCGGTATGGGATGGGGTGGGCAAATGATAGCATCAGAGGTGACTTGGGTACAAAGTTGTATCCTTTGAGCTATGATGTACTGACACATTTGCTATCATCGCAACTTGGAACAAACGCCATGCTAGCCTATGTAATCATCAGAAACTAAACTCTACACAAGGGAAAGCTTTACTCAAGTTCTACCCTCTGCCGTATCAGAAACACTAGGAGGATCTATGAAAACCTTTTTGAGGGTTTTGTAGCAGAAGCCTGTTCCATGTTCCCAATGTGTTAAGGTGTAGTGGTGGCCAGATAAAGGGAATGCTGATAAAGAGAAATAGTCATGGGGAGTAAAACATCAGGCATCTCAATTCTCTTTCCTCTGAACTCCATCTTCACTTTAGCTACAATATTTTCATTTAAAAAGCTTCCCTGGAAGTAAACACAGTGTAATATAAATAAAAATGTATACATTTTTATGTATTTTATTTTTTTAAAAAAATATTTCTTTAAAAATAAAAAGTCTACAGTTTTAATCTCTTTTCTCCCCTGAAAATACCAAAACATGGGAGCAGAATACTCTATAGAGAAATGTTATGAGGAAAATTTAAGCAAGACTTAATTTCATTGTTTATTGAAGAATGCAGCACCCTCTAGTGTACAATCTTTGGCTATATTCTGAAAAACAGCATAAAGAGAAAACTGCTTTTTGCCTACTGGCCAACTTACATTTATTGGATCATGTAATTATGATCCTTCTTCCTGTTTAGAACAAGTGGTGGGATTCAGCCAGTTCGCACCAGTTCGGCAGAACCGGTAGCTAATTTTTTTGTTGCCCAGGCCCAGAATGGACTTCCGGAACTGGCATCCACGCAGAGAACCGGTTGTTCACATATCTGAATCCCACCACTGTTTAGAACTCATAATTTGTTTTCATTGGCTTATGCCTCATGAATTCTAAGGAGAGCAAAAAAGGAAGAACAATAAGAGGCAAAAACGGGAAGCACAGAGAGAAAGACAAAGAAGAGGTAAAAGAAATTTTTAAAAGGGATCCTTATGTAATACGGAAAGGAAAGCTTTCAAAAGCTGTAAACTGAAGGCTCACTGAAATAGGACAAAGACAGCAGTTTGAAAATATCAATGCTTTGATTTAATTATTCCTTTGTTGCATTATCATAAGGATTCTCCATTTTCAGAAAATGAGCTCTAACCTGGAAAATAATGCACATACAAATATTCTACAGGAAATCAACTATACAGAAATATACAAAGCATTTTTTTAGTTTATGCAAAATACAGAATTAGAATGCCCAACATCCTAAATCTTCTAATACATGAATCAAAGTACTCGTAGTTCAGTTAGTTATTATCATCAGAACTATAAAAGATAAACAAGCCACCTGGAAAAAAGACAATGCTTACATGTATCTACAACAGTGCAAATGTATCACAACGTGCAAGCAGTCTCTAGAACAGCAAAACCAACAGGAATCCAAAGTAATGCAGTGTGCATTACACAACCAAGACAGAAGAACAGTTATTATACAGTAAATGCACTCTTTAGCACGCTGAGGTTTTGAAATTACTTGCATTGACTTTTGCTTTTCTCAAAAAAAAAAAAAAAAAAAGAAAAGAAAAGAAAAGAAAAAGAAAGGAAAACCACACATACACATAAATGTCTTAAATAAGTAATTAGGTTTTTCGGGCAGCTACTCACCAAAACTAAGAATCTACATTGCACAGAAGGTATAATTTGAAAACAAAGGGTGTCAAAAATACTGTCACATTGATACATACGGCTGATAATTCCTCTCTCACCATTAAAGATGGCCCAGATAATAATAATAATCCATTATTTGTTTTAAAACTACAAATAGGAATTTTTGCTGGGCTGTTTTTGGAGTAGGGGTTTAGCAAAATTTCAGCAATTCTTAGGCATGGAGCTCAGTAGAATATACTTCCTAAAAGAAAAGCAGGATATGAGTAGCGTGAAACTTATAACATGCACATTAACTGAAAGGTTTTGTGATCTCTATATATTATTGTTCTAATATTTCTGAAAATAGCAAGTTTCACATAAAAATATAATAAACCAAATGGTTATATTTGCATGACCTTTCCAATCCTAGGTGAAATTAAAGCAGAGGCCCCCAAACTTTTGGGCGCCAGGGACCGGTTCCATGGAGAGAGGTTTCTTCGTGGACAGGAGGGGGTGTGGTTTCATGTACTGCCTGAATCCCGTGGATAGAGCTTTGCTTGTCTGCCCCGCCCGGTTTCTGGCATGCCACGGACTGGTACCGGTCCACGGAATGGGGGTTGGGGACTCCTGCTTTAAAGCAATAAAGGTATCCCTCATTTAGCTTCATACAGTGACTGTTTGCAGTTATGACAGTGATAAAAAAGTAACTTTGTGACCAATCCTCACACTTATGATACTTCCAAATTTCTAAAGCAAAAGAAAGCTGAATTAAGATCATAAGCACAGTCATGTTTTCACTTAACAACCATTTTGTTTAACAACTGAGTTGCTGGTCCCAATTATGGTCACTAAATGAGGACTACCTGAAATTAGCTTGAATTCTAAGTATTGTAAAGGTCACCCACTTCAGAATGCTTTGCTTTTAAAATTAGCAAAACTGGTTTTCTTCCAGATTAGTATAAACATAAAAGCAAGTTTTCTTGGGAACTTCATACAATTTTTTTCAGTTATCCAGACTTAAAGAAACTGGACATTTCCCATGGCTTTGTTGCTTTTATTTAATTGAATTTTAATTGGTTCTGACATTGGGATTAGTGTTTAAGGGTATATATTTTCCCTCTTTCCTCTTAGATTTAAATTAACTTTCGAAGAAATGTTTCCAATATTCTGTGAGTGCATTTGAGAAGGAAAATGCATTTTGATTAAATGCAAAATGGGGTGTTACTCAATCTACATACCTACCTGAGACGTTAATTTCCATATTGCTAAGAATGTGGGGGGGGGGGTTTGTACTAGCCAGCAGAAAGTACCAGAAAGAACAGAGTAGAAAGTTTTGTAAAGAAGCATCTCGAGTGAGGGAGCAAAAGCCTTTTTTAGTAAATTTGTGTTGGTATGAAGCAGAGGGTTTTGTTTTTTTTTTTTTTTTTAAAGGCATGCCTTCTTAGTTTGCTAAAATTTGTTTCATCTGAAACTGTTCAATATTTGACAATTGGCTAATGGCCCATCTTGGCTTTTATAAACACCTGACTGACATTTATTATTTTTCCCTTGCAAATATTATCCGGATACCTCCACCACACATCTAATAAAAATCTAAATAACATTTTCTAATTACTTAACAGGTAATTTGTTATCTGAATGAAGTACACAAACATTGTGATATAAAATAAGCTCCATTTATGCCACATAATACTCTCTTTGATCCAAATCCCTACTTTCCAAGAGTTGTGTGCTATGAAGAATCAGAAAAGGATCTGGTTATGTCTAGCTATTTTAATTCTAGGTTGCAGCATACTGCTCGAAGGAGTTACAGCTCCACGTAAGTACTTTACTTTAAACTAGCATTTTGCTGCAATGTTTAAGTACATGGAAGACACTAAATATGATATTTAACTCACCTAATATTTGGACAGTTTTATCTCATTGCTGCTACGTTGAATCTTCTAGATAATCTTATTTCTGCTATTGCTAAGCTTTACTGGTTTGACAGCCATTCGTCAGTTAGGCAGGAGTCCCCGACCCCTGGGCTGTGAACCACTGCCACTCGGCAGTCTGTTGGGAACCAGGCTGAGCAAGAGGCAGACGAGTGTGTGAAGCTTCATTTGTGCAGGCAGAGGAGTGAAACCATCCCCTCCCCTCCTCCTGCCGCCTCTGCTGCTGCTGGTCTGTGAAGCCAGAAAGGTTGGGGACCTCTGAATTAAGGATTAAACTATGCACACATGCTTTACAGTATAACATTTTAAAACATAAGTTACAAAGGGCTGTCCAGCTTTCTTAGTCCAGGACTTCATATTAAAGCATCCCCAATTGATGAGTCTCTAGCCTGTCATTGAACATATCCAGTGAAAAGGAGCTTATCATTTCTGCAGGTGTTAACATTATTCCAGTGTAAAATTGCTCTTATTGTTACAATCATTATTCCATGTCTTGCTTCTCTGCTCTTTGGGCAACAGCTATATAGAAGAAAACTACATTTTCCAGCTAAAGAGCAAAGACACGTTTATTTAATTCTAGCATTACAAGCAGATAAAAAAATATATAGTGCTGGGAATGTGAATTGTAGACACATGGAAATAGATAATAGCTTCTTAGTGAAATCCAAAGTCCCATGAACAATGACAATTGTATCTAGTTATTCTTTCTCTACAGGAATTATACAACAGAAGATTAGGGAAAAATCACAAAGGAACCCCAACATCTCTCTCTTGTGCTGATGCAGAGAGATTCCAGCACTTGATCCTTTGAGTTGTTGCTTCCTCCATAGAGAACTTCTTATAATCCAACATCTTCTACTAATTTGGACTCATAGGTTTGGTCTCACAGGTTGGTCTGAAAGACCATGGTGGTTGAACAGCATGAAAGCTCAGCACATGCAGATGACTGTAGGTTAGGAGAGCTGCATTAAAAGTTAACAGCTATGTGGTTTGGTATAATATTGCAGGCTTAAGAGCTTTCCAGCATGACTGAATCCAGAAAGTTGAAGCTTAAGCGGAAACACGGATTTTCTTTAAATTTTCATCTTTGGATAAGTATGTCAATGGCAAAACATTCAAAATAGCACCCAACTATTGAACTATTTCAGCAACAAGGAATTAGCTGAGTAACAAGATCCCTTGGTTTGGATTGATTTTGCTAATAGACTGGAACAATGTGCTCTTTACAAGGTGTCTTTTAAAAGAAACTAACCACGAAGTAGCCAATTATTATATTAATCTTTCACAGCAATGTTTAAAAGTGGGAATTGTGGGCAGTAGGGCAGCATATTCACTCACTTGTCAAAAGTTTAAGTGGGGAGACACTTTTTCTGCATTTCTGAAGTTCTGCATTTTTATAAAAATAGTATTCCAACATTCTTTTTGCAATACACATGATGCTGGCTTCCATGGTGATAGCTAAAAAAAAATCATTTGCCATACATTGGTAACATGGGATAACCATGAGTTTTGTCTTTTGACAGCAAAATGCCGATGTGATGTTGATCCCGACAAACGATCCAACTGTGGACCTCCTGGGATCACTCCTCAGGAATGCGAAAATAAAGGATGTTGCTTCAATTCAACAGTGCCAGGAGTCCCTTGGTGCTTTAAACCAACCCCCCCCAAATGTCATTGATCTATGTGATACTAAATCAGACTTTTCCAGCTCTTAAATGATATCCAAATTGGTGGAATAGATAAGAACTTTGAAACAGCTATCTTGCTGGCGGTAGGAGTGAGACCATATGACAGGTTCTTTATTTTTTTAATTGTACATTAGAGTGACCCAGACTCAAGAGAAACAGAGAAATACTGGACCCTGGAGAGATGGTTTCTTTTTCTTTCTTTTTTAATAAAATTTTTATTGATTTTTTAATTATACAACAAACTCCAACATGATGCATTTACAAACACAAGCAAAGAAAAAAAAAGATCAATACATTTTTGAAAACGCTCAGCAGTCCCTGCCTTGCCTCCACCCTCATCCACTTCCTATCCTCCCTCTAAACCCACAACCTCTCCTCCTTCCTCCTTTCCACCTACCTACATCCCCTCTCCCTTCTTAGCCACCTCCTCGAGTGCAGTTTGGGGTACCAGCCGAGCATCTCCTCTTCTCAATATAATAATTATTAACCTATAACATATAAATACATCAATTCTTATAATTTCTATCCCCTAATCCCCTTCCCCACTGGACTTCCCGGAACCAAATACAGGACTAAAACACATCCCATTCCATATCTAAATCACAATTTAACTAAACATAGTACAATCAATTATTTACATACTTTAACTCTAATAATACAATAGGTAAAAAACAGTAAATCTACTCAAAAACTATATAATATTTATTCATTCCATACTTTCTCTAAATATAATCTATCCACCTTGAACATATAAACTATATGAAACAATTTTTTTAAAAAATCTTTCCTTCAATTTCTTCACTCTCAAGTCAATACTTTCAAGAAAAAAAAGCTTTTATTATTATTACTAATATAATACATATAAACCAGTACTTCCTTTCTTCAAAGCTAAAACAAATAAAATAAAATCCCAATCTTAAATTTATCAAATATTTTAAGTCTTTCAAAGTACAATGAAATTCTTACAAGCATCCTTTTATATTATTTAAAATATTAGAATAATTCCTTTTTCATAGCAGAATCAAACCATTCACATTCAACGTTATCAACTTAAGCATCCTTTGGCTTGTGAAGCTTATTAAGCATTCCCTGCAAGTCTGTCGTTACAGATCTCTTTGGCCTCGCACCTCCCACTGGCTCCAAAGTCGGCGAATATGTTATTGACACAGTTTCTTTTTGTTGTTGTTCTCTCTCTTTACGCCTATAAGCTGCACGAGTCATTCTTTGCTCCTTAGGATTCACTCCCATCTTTTGTTGATTCTGAGGATCTCCTACAGAAAGTGACATGGCCCCAGGCAATTCCACCACTAGTTGCTCCATCAGGTCTTCCTGTGCTTTAGATGCTGATGATGGTGGTAAATCAGCTTTCAGGACCGACAGCTAAAAATCTTTAGCTTTTTGAACAGAATTTAATTTATATCTGGTCCCCGCATAATTTACCACAATGCCCACAGGAATCTCCCATCTAAAAGGCATCTGCCGCTTCTTTAACTCCTGGGCCAAAAAATTAAAATCCTTTCTTCCTCTTAAAATCTTTGGAAAGGTCATGCAAATATAACCATTTGGTTTATTGTATTTTTATGTGAAACTTGCTATTTTCAGAAATATTAGAACAATAATATATAGAGATCACAAAACCATTCGGTTAATGTGCATGTTATAAGTTTCACGCTACTCATATCCTGCTTTTCTTTTAGGAAGTATATTCTACTGAGCTCCATGCCTAAGAATTGCTGAAATTTTGCTAAATCCCTACTGCAAAAACAGCCCAGCAAAAATTCTTATTTGTAGTTTTAAAACAAATAATGGATTATTATTATTATTATCTGGGGCATCTTTAATGGTGAGAGAGGAATTATCAGCCGTATGTATCAATGTGACAGTATTTTTGACACCCTTTGTTTTCAAATTATACCTTCTGTGCAATGTAGATTCTTAGTTGTGGTGAGTCGCTGCCCTAAAAACCTAATTACTTATTTAAGACATTTATGTGTATTTTTAACTAAAATAAAGAGAAATATGTTCCACCCACAAATAAGCCAATCCCCCAGATTTTTATGTTTTAATTTTCATAGATGGTTTATTCATGATGATCTATTTTTCATGGTATTTTGGTTAAAAATTCCAGGGTCTGCTTATCTATGGATGGGATTCTATGCAATTACATACAGAATGTATGAGGATTAAGTCTTATAGTATATGCTCACAGATAGGCCCATCTCCAGATAAGTCAAACCCAATTTGTGGAATGTATTTTGGCACCTAAAATTCTCCACTTATTCACGAGTGTATATTTATGTTCTGGGTAGCATGTGAACAACTCTGCCTGGATTTGGAACCCAACCAGGGATGAACTGGAATAATAAGTTTGGTGAGAAAGTTCTAGTGGCTACTAATACTGTAGGCCCTTTTTCTTAATCACATTACACTGTGCCAATTTTTTGAAGTTGTTGACTATGCTTAGCAATTCCTACCTCTTCATAAAACTATAATTCCTAGGATTTCATCGAGAAACTAATAGCTCATGTCAATTTCATTAGTCTTATTCATAGTATTCTCAAACTAGACAAATTCCAGATGTGTGCATTTCATTTCCCCAAATCTACTGGCTGGGAATTCTGGGAATTGCAATCCATACAACTAAAAGTTGCCAAGTCTTCTTGATATGATTGCTGCCACGCTAATGGATTCCTCTGAGTATTTCTGGAAAAGGAAAGAGGCTGGAAAAGAATGTCTTCCTATAGCTTCTGTAACATGCTACTCTGCCAAAGCTCAGAGTTTGGGCCAATTAAGTGTAATCCCCACCAAATAATGCACTAAGCTTGAGGAACAAATATAATTAACTTAGAGTATTTGCAATTAATACAACACTGCTGTGTTAACGATAGACTCTGATTTGAAGTATCAATATACATTTACCTGAAATGGGAAAAGTAGTTTACTATTTGTTTCTTTGTATTTCATGTTTCTAGACTTCCCATCCAGGGAGTTTAATGATGAAGTAGAATATTTACTAAACTAGTATTAAAGATGGGAAAACAGTAAGAGAAATAATAATATGCAAATCATCCTGGAAATGTTGCAAGTAATATGCTGTCTTTTACAAAGAATGAATGTTTATCAAAACAAGCACAAATAGCTCTGTATAAAATCTGGGCAAACGAGGGGCACTCTCAAGGGGAGTGAAAAGCATCTTTTTAATGTGCATTGCATGTGACAAAACAAAAAGAAATAGGGTCAAGAATAAATAGGTACTGAGTGAAGATAAACTAATACAGAACTGAGTGACCATTACAAAATAAATTCTTTGAGATAGTTTGATCATATAAAGAATGGGGAGGGGTTTTCTTTAGGCTGTACATTCTGAAAAATAGAATTTTTCAGAATGTACAAATGATCCCTATTAAAATTTTCAATTTGTTTTTCTGGTTAATTAATCTCTCACTAAGTAAATTATCAAGTGGAATTGCCCCTCTCCGGAGATTTGAGCAGATCAGTAGAGATAACTGATTTTATCATTTTGATATAAGAGCAAAGCCTCAGTTTCTTATTCCATAAAACATATAGTGCCGATAGTACAGTAGCTGTGTTAGGTTGGATAAACCAGATTAGATGGGTGAATTGCTTTTGTTTTTGTTCCAATTCTCTGGCTGTTAACTATTTTAGTCCTCTGTGAAAGTGAACAACCTATAAATTATGTATATATATATATATAACGTGAAAACCTTAAAAAACAAATATATATATATATATATATATATATATATATATATATATACACACACACATATTGCCTCAACACTATTCATGTCAATTTATATCACTTCATAACTGTGCCAAATGACACATTGAGATGAAAATTAAATAGGCTAATTCAGATTGAATGGACATTTGGCTTTAACAGACACTCCTTTCCCCCAACAGTCCATTAAATCATGGGTTGATTCCGTGTCATTTACTACTGTTACTTTTCTTGCTATCAGATTATAATGTTTTCTAATTATGGGTTTTTGCCTTTGAGGGGAGTTAATAGAGGTCTATGACAGCTCGCCACAGCTAACTTGCCACGGACAACTTTCCATGGGACAAGAGCTTCCCTAATATCAAAGAAATGGTGGAATGGAGTCATTAAAGAAAGAATGCAAAAGGAGGGACAAAAATGAAATGTGAATGAGAAAAATTAAAATAATATTTAAATTATTTTAAATAATTAAATTGAATTGTTAAATTGTCCCATGGCAAATTGTCCCTTGGTGAGTTGGTCACAATAAGTTGGCCGTGGCAAATTGGCCAAAGCAAGTTGTCCCATTCCAGATGGTAGATATTTAGTGCTGGTAATTTAGACTAGTTGCACTTATATGGTTATGAGAATCACTTTGCGAAGACTTTTCCTTAACCAATAGCTTCAATCACTGAATCAATACCTGTATTATCTTTTGGAAAGAAACACCAGATGACTCCAGCAATACTTGAATCAAAACAGCATCCTTTATTGTAGCATTCCTTAGCACTGATGTAGGGGTATCCACAGTTCACTCTGGCATTCAGTTGCACTTGGCATTGTCCTGGAACTGTTAAATACAGTCTAAATTAATCTAGTATAATAATGTATTTGGGGCTTCCGGTTTGAGTTCCTGTGCCGATGGCAGCTATTCTTTTGGCTGCCTGCCCCGAGGACGCGTAAAAGCCGCAGGAGCAGCATCAAACAGCTGCTCCGCGGCTTGAATCCCCTTCCCCAGGCAAAGGGGAGGGGGGAGAGTTTCCCTGATAGGGGTAGAGCTCCTGAGCTCCCACAGTTTTATAGCTGTGGGGGTGGAGGTGAGTTCCCCCGGAGTCAGGGACTTTTCTCCGTGCTTTGGGCTGCCTCCGTTCCAAGAACGAAGCCAGACACGGACTCATCCTCTGCTCAAGGGAGATCGTGAGTAGACTTTGGAAGCAGACAGAGTGAGCCAGGTGCTTGGGAGAGGCATGGATAAGAACCTTCAGCTCT